TGTGGTTTTTATGTTTAAGTTAAAATGGCGATTTGCCTCTGTCCTGGGAGATAATTGAATTGAATTACAGAGGGGAGGAAACCATTTTGCATGCTGGGAATATTATGTGCCCGTGTGTCCTAACATGCTATATGTCTGTCTGCCATTACAGTCTCCCATTTGGTCCCCTAGGGGAGTGTCCACCAAGTGGGAGACCTTCATAAATGCGGGCGGGTAGCCCACAGTAAACCCAGTTCTTGTTTTACCCTCAATCTGGAGCTTGGTCTCTTTATTGGGGGGGATTTACTACACACGAATAGCGACTGATTGAGGGTGTAAGCCGCTTGGAGGATATATTGATTCGGCTGTTAGCAGCGATTCGTGGGTTTACCGTTCAAGAGTTGGAGTACCCGTACAGGTACCGTTCGGGAGGATGGCGCATTCCCCTGCTTGCAGTTCATACGATTGGAGTCCGTACAAATTAAGTTTGCGTTATTGCGAGAGGGGAGGATTAACTAAACGGCGGTTTTGACTATTTGATGCCGAGGGTGCTGTTACAGTTCCTCACAATAGGTTAGTCTTCAAACTTAAAGAAATTGGTCTAGATGATTATTCTTGTTCTTGGGTAAAACATTGGCTTAAGGATAAAGTACAACAAGTTGTCATTAATGGTAAAAGTAGAGGGGGGATATATCAGTCATCAAACTTGAATTTGACAGGTGCCCCACCCCTTTTCCCATTAAGCCACGCCCTCAACATATGTGTTGCCACGCCCAATGATGGAGCGCCCAGCTCCGCTCCTTTACCATGAAACCACACCCACAACATATGTGTTGCCGCGACCACGGCGCCTGCGCGAACCTTTGAACCACGACCCCTGATGCGCCACCCCACCCACAGCGTGCGCACCCACTGTGTATGAGCGCCCCCCTCTGAACCAAGAAACGCAGTGTATGCGCATTGTAAACCAAGCCCTATGCGTATTTACAGACAATTAGGACATGTTTGGGCATGTTTTAGGGGATAGGAGCGCTTAAAAACAAAAAGAATTGTAAACCAAGCCCTATGCGTATTTACAGACAACTAGGACATGTTTTGGCCCCCACAAAACTGTCCCAGCCCTGAGGTCTCTTGCGTACTGTAACACTATGACTTTGCGTAACACTCCGAACCAGATCCAGTATATTAGAACCAGGTACAACATTATTTTTATAAACAAACTCTCCCTTATCATTCCAATTTGCAACGTGTTTGGCATGCTTCATTCTAGTAAGCAACAGTTCAGTGTTCTTTTTATAGCGGTCATGAACATTATGGAGTACATCACTAATTACATTATCCGAAACATGAGCGGGGTCAGTAATTTTTGGCTGATGAGTGTCCATAGGTGTGGAATCTCCCAGTGGTAATAAAAGTGTTAAGTTCAGCTTTTCCCTGTCACTCTGCTTTGCATGTAGTAAATATTTTTGCAGTATTGTGGTGTACCTTGATATCTTCTCAGCTGTTGACATATTTTTACTTTGAAGGAGAGACATAATATCCGCATCAAGCCTTTGTGTTACAGACTCATGAGCAGTGGCAGATTGCTGAGTGTTCTTTTGTATTAGATCCAACTCTTTTTTGGAACCATTATCGGTTAGAGAGAAGACCGGTATAGCAAAACTCAGCAGAGAATCAATAAATCCACCAGACTGTTTAACCATCTGTTTCTTCTTAACAATAGATATTTTCTTATCACACAATGATTTTATATTTTTTTGCCACTTTCTAAGTTTTTCAATTTGATGAGGTGATAAAGGTATTCTTCCTTTGAGGTTATTGAGTGCGATTTCACATATGGCTGTGACTAAATCATGGGACGCTGAGTATAAAATGGCTTTTCTCTGCGCCGGAGATGCTTTGATTAAAGTTTTTAATACATCCCAATGGCGCTTTATTCTCTGTGACATGTTTACAGTCGATGAGATACTGTAGAAAATGAAACACGCATAAATTCTTCCTCTTTTCTGCAGTTTTTTTTATATATACCGCTGGTAGGGCTGGTGGGAAAAGACCTGTTCTAACGGTACTCTTCAGGGGTTGTTGGTTTCAAATCTACAAGTAAGTAGCCATATGATCTACTAGTGGCATCTTCAAAAGATTCTAAAAAGAATTGTATTTTTCCAGGATACATTTGGTGGGCTAGAGTGTTAATTTGCAGCTTATCTCTAGGGTTCTTAAAAAGTACCATATAGTTAGTGTTTAAAGTAATTGTTCTGCTTTTTTTACCTTGACAGAATACATTTTGGACCAGGTACATGATACTGAGATTCCTGTGATGAACGTACTTGGTGAATGCCTTCTCAAGCTCACAGCTCTCACTAGCCGCTTCCATTAGGTCATCCACAATAGTCAGATTTACTTTAGTAGGAGGAAACAAATCATCATCATTAAATGTCACGGGTAAACCCTCTATAAAATGAATATTAGGGATTGTACGCAATAAATCATCATAAAGACCCTGCCAACAAGCATAAAACCAAACAATGTTATCAGGATTCTGCAACAAAAGATTGTTAGCATGATGTAAAAGTTGTTTAACAAAATAACTTTTTCCTGAGCTAGAAGGTCCCGCTAAGATACACGAAAAAGGATGTTGCAGGTGTGTGTCCATTGTGTGTAATTAGTATCCAAATGGATAGGTTGAAAAGTTGTCTGTCAATAGTCTTTTAGTGTATACACACTGTTGTGTTTTGCGAAGTGGTCGTGTTTCTATTTGCCAACACAATTTGTTTCTGACGATCCCCGTTTGCTGTATTATAATACGTTTCCGGTCATCAGGCCCTGGGGGTAGTGGATAGTCCAGTACCAGGTCTTTCAAACTGTCAAAGTTAATCAGCGTCACGTTGCTAGCATTCAGTGTTATACCTTTCATCTTTAGAGTTGTTTTGTCAGTCGTCAACTTGTAACCGTAAGTTTTAGGCCCTGCAGACACAAACTCTGTGATGTATGTGTGTAATGGTATTTATTAATTAACCCCTTAAGGACGCAGCTTCAGAAGCTGGACATACCCTTAAGGACTCAAGCTATTTTTGCATTTTTTGCTGTTTGTGTTCAACTGCAATTTGCATCGCTCTCATTTATTGAATCAACACATATTATATATCGTTTTTTAAAGGACAAGATGGGCTTTACTTTGATGTGACTTATACATATATAAAATCTAATTTATTATTAAAAAACATTAAAAAAAGAAAAAATATATATATTTTTCACAGTTTTGGCAATAATAGTGTGTGTATAATATGTCCAGCTTAGGAAAAGTAATTCAAAATAAATTCATTTAGGTTTCTTGTTTTTCAAAGTGCATAATATGTAAAGGATTTCAGCTTATTTTAAAAGTTACAGGTCACAAAACACAAGGAGTAATATAAAATTTAAATGTGAAAAAAATTTAGAAGTTGGTATGTTTGACTTGTAAGTTTGACAGCTGTCACAGAAAACAAAATTGCTACACAAAAGTATATATTTAAATAAAGAAGACATCACAGGATATTTATTTAAGGGTATTTTGACACTTTTTACATAGCCTTTTTCCCACCAATCTCTGCTACATATTGTAGTAAAATTGTGTTTTTTCTGTTTTTTGAAATACACACATGTAACAAGGTTTTTTAAATGTGTATTTTGTAAAGCTGCTGTGTGCTATTCCTGGTCAAAATCCCATTTTGTGTTCAGCAACATCTGCTGAGTACAACAATACCCCCATTGTATGTCTTTGCCACTATTTTGGGAAGCTACAATGAAATATAAGAGGCCAGACTATTTCAGTTAGAAAATTCAAAGATGGATTTAATGGATCTATGTCTTATTTTGGGGCATTATAGTAGTTTGGTTGTTCAAATGACCACACAAAGGCCTTCCATTCGTGAAAGTAGACACTCCATGGTATCTCATATGGCATATATTTTGCCTTAACGGTTCACCATTTATTCACCATTATATGTCAAAATTTGTGTTAAAAAAATATTTTCCGCATTTTTTCCTTAATCATTACATTTGTGCTGGGCATTTTGTATATTTGATATGTTCCACTATGGTCAAACACCCCTAATTATGCTCAGCTTAATCTTCTGAGTAAAACAATACCCCCAATGTATGTCTTTGACACTATTTGGTGACGCTACAGTGCCATAAAGGAGACCTGACCATTTCAGTTTTTAGAGTAGAATTTTCAGAGACGAATTTGCAGGGCTTATGTTTCAATTTGGGCCATTATAGCAGTTTGACTGTTTCAATAACCGCAAAAAGGCCTACCATTTGTAAAAGTAGACACTCCAGGGTATCTCATGTGGCATATATTGTGCCTTAACATGTCGTCATTTTTTCGCCATTATATGTAAAAGTTTGTGGTAAAAAAATATTTTTCGCATTTTTTCCTTAAGCATTACATTTGTGCTGGGCATTTTGTATATTTGATATGTTCCACTATGATCAAACACCCCTAATTATGCTCAGCTAAGTCTTCTGAGTAAAACAATACCCCCAATGTATGTCTTTGACACTATTTGGTGTCACTACAGTGCCATAAAGGAGACCTGACCATTTCAGTTTTTAGAGTAGAATTTTGAGAGACGGATTTGCAGGGCTTATGTTTCAGTTTGGGCCATCATAGCAGTTTGACTGTTTCAAAAACCGCAAAAAGGCCTACCATTTGTGAAAGTAGACACTCCAGGGTATCTCATATGGCATATATTGTGCCTTTACATGTCGCCATTTTTTCGCCATTATATGTCAACGTTTGTGGTAAAAAAATATTTTTTGCATTTTTTCCTTAAGCATTACATTTGTGCTGAGCATTTTGTATATTTGATATGTTCCACTATGATCAAACACCCCTAATTATGCTCAGCTAAGTCTTCTGAGTAAAACAATACCCCCAATGTATGTCTTTGACACTATTTGGTGACGCTACAGTGCCATAAAGGAGACATGACCATTTCAGTTTTTAGAGTAGAATTTTGAGAGACGGATTTGCAGGGCTTATGTTTCAGTTTGGGCCATCATAGCAGTTTGACTGTTTCAAAAACCGCAAAAAGGCCTAGTATTTGTGAAAGTAGACACTCCAGGGTATCTCATATGGCATATATTGTGCCTTAACATGTCGCCATTTTTTCACCATTATATGTCAAAGTTTGTGGTAAAAAAATATTTTTTGCAGTTTTTCCTTAAGCATTACATTTGTGCTGGGCATTTTGTATATTTGATATGTTCCACTATGATCAAACACCCCTAATTATGCTCAGCTAAGTCTTCTGAGTAAAACAATACCCCCAATGTATGTCTTTGACACTATTTGGTGACGCTACAGTGCCATAAAGGAGACCTGACCATTTCAGTTTTTAGAGTAGAATTTTGAGTGACGGATTTGCAGGGCTTATGTTTCAGTTTGGGCCATTATAGCAGTTTGACAGTTTCAAAAACCGCAAAAAGGCCTACCATTTGTGAAAGTAGACACTCCAGGGTATCTCATATGGCATATATTGTGCCTTAACATGTCGCCATTTTTTCGCCATTATATGTCAAAGTTTGTGGTAAAAAAATATTTTCAAATTTTTTCCTTAAGCATTACATTTGTGCTGGGCATTTTGTATATTTGATATGTTCCACTATGATCAAACACCCCTAATTATGCTCAGCTAAGTCTTCTGAGTAAAACAATACCCCCAATGTATGTCTTTGACACTATTTGGTGATGCTACAGTGCCATAAAGGAGACCTGACCATTTCAGTTTTTAGAGTAGAATTTTGAGAGACGGATTTGCAGGGCTTATGTTTCAATTTGGGCCATTATAGCAGTTTGACTATTTCAAAAACCGCAAAAAGGCCTACCATTTGTGAAAGTAGACACTCCAGAGTATCTCACATGGCATATATTGTGCCTTAACATGTCGACATTTTTTCACCATGATATGGTGAAGGTTGTGGTAAAAAAATATTTTTTGCATTTTTAACTTATGCGTTACATTTGTGCTGGGCATTTTGTATATTTGATATGTTCCAATATGATCAAACACCCCTAATTATGCTGAGCTATCTCCTGTGAGAAAAACGATACCCCCAATGTATGCCTTTAGTCGTATTTCCTGATGCTACACTGCCATATAGGAGACCTGACCATTTCAGTTTTTACAGAATTTTATAGGTTTATGACTCATTTTGGGTTCTAATAGCAGGTTGCTTATTCAAACTTTCCCGACAAAGGCCTACCATTTTTTAAAGTAGACACCCCAGGGTATTTCAAAAGGCCCATTTTGAACCTTAGGGTGGAATAATTTTTTCGCTAGTGAGTACCAAGTCTAGTAGTAGTAAGCATTTTCTCTGCCTTTTTGACACACACTGAGATTTTACTGCATAGTTTACAATCCTTAGGTGTGCTACGGCAGTATAACGCTTCATATGTCACTCAGCTATGTCGTCTGAGTACAGCAATACCCCTGTGTGTACCTTTCCCAGGTATATGTGGATGTTGGAGGGGCAAATTTGAGACTCGGCAATTTCAGGTCTGTTTCAAACTTTGAATTTTTACGCTGGGTCCATGTCCCATTTTGGGGCATTTGACAGGTTGAGAATTCAAACTTCCCCCACAAAGGCCTACCATTTTTTAAAGAAGACACTCCAGGGTATTTCAAAAGGCCCATTTTGAACCTTAGGGTGGGATCATTTTTTCGCTAGTGAGTACCAAGTCTAGTAGTAGTAAGCATTTTCTCTGCCTTTTTGACACATACTTTGAGATTTTACTGCATAGTTTACAATCCTTAGGTGTGCTACGGCAGCCTCCTTTTTCCTTTGCTTGCATTGATTGAACATGTAGCTGTGTGTATAGCTCCAGCCAAACAGGCTGGAGCCGTGTAAGTAATCTATTATAACAGCTAGCAACTGTTATAGCCTTTCATATGTCACTCAGCTATGTCGTCTGAGTACAGCAATACCCCTGTGTGTACCTTTCCCAGGTATATGTGGATGTTGGAGGGGCAAATTTGAGACTAGGCAATTTCAGGTCTGTTTCAAACTTTGAATTTTTACGCTGGGTCCATGTCCCATTTTGGGGCATTTGACAGGTTGAGAATTCAAACTTCCCCCACAAAGGCCTACCATTTTTTAAAGAAGACACCCCAGGGTATTTCAAAAGGCCCATTTTGAACCTTAGGGTGGGATCATTTTTTCGCTAGTGAGTACCAAGTCTAGTAGTAGTAAGCATTTTCTCTGCCTTTTTGACACATACTTTGAGATTTTACTGCATAGTTTACAATCCTTAGGTGTGCTACGGCAGTATAACGCTTCATATGTCACTCAGCTATGTCGTCTGAGTACAGCAATACCCCTGTGTGTACCTTTCTCAGGTATATGTGGATGTTGAAGGGGCAAATTTGAGACTCGGCCATTTCAGGTTTGTTTCAAACTTTGAATTTGCATGCTGGGTCCATGTCCCATTTTGGGTCAAACTCTGAGGCACTGTCTGTCACCTCTGAATCCGCTGTCAGAATTCTCTAACTGTACTTCCAAAGCATTTTAAACTTTTTACACAAGAACTTTAACAAAACAATGTTATTTTATTTTTTTGTTGTTTTTTTTTATTTGTATTTCTACCCCTAGCATACGCACTAAACTCCCCAATTTCCCAGGAACTATCATCCACCCCAATTAACTAAATAAAAGGTAAAAAAAAAATTGTATTGAGAATTTATTGGCTCTGAGTATGAAATAATTTAAAACAGTTCCCAATACAAAGGCCAGGCTGAGAGGGACAATCAGGGCAGTAGAAACTGGTCTCCGTTCGAATGCCTCTCTGGTAACACAGCCTGCACCTTTTCTGGGGGGTCTTTTTTTTGGGGGTTGGTGGTATCCGAAAGCAGAAGTGACCTGTCTGAATATCTCTGCTGCTAGGCCCTGCTGATGGCTCCCCACTGTGGCACTCAGTGAGCAGCACAGAAATGAGCTGAAACTGAAATGTAAGAAAAGTACATTTCAGCTGAGGATTTGCCTTTTTGAAAAGGATGAATGCATTGTGAGTAGCCATTTGCATTAAATAAATGCCCACTTTCTTATACCAGGCCCTGGTCTTTCTCATTATCAGATATGGCTGCAGCAGTTGATCAGACAGGTCAACTCCCCCCATGTGTTTATTGTATTGCTTAATGCAGACAGGCAGCCGTCTTGTTTCCTGTCTGCCACGAACTGCGACCCTGCGTGTGTGTTCACTGTGCATGGTAGTCAGTATGAACACCTCCTTTTTGTCTCTGTATTTCAGAGCCAGCAGTTCGTCCTGGCATAGAGCAGCCGTTTCCCCCTTTTTAATTTTTTTCTCTGCCAGAGCCTTGGGGAAGCCAGTGCGTGTCTTGCGGATAGTGCCGCAGACCACAGTCTCAAAACAATATAGCATTTTTTGGAGGGGTATGCTATTGTAGTAATTAACAAGGTAGAGGTGGTACCCCTTGTTCAGTAGCGGGTTCATTAGATCCCAAACTATTTTTCCGCTAGTCCCAACTACATCAGGGCAACCTGGGGGATCCCGGTGGCTATCTTTACCTTCATATATTCTGAAGGTATAAACATACCCACTGCTACTTTCACATAACTTGTATAGCTTGATGCCATACCGGGATCTTTTGGCTGGGATGTATTGCTTAAACCCCAGTCTACCCTTGTATTTCATTAGGGACTCGTCAATACATATATTCTAGTATAAATTATGCCAAATTCTTTATTAAAATGGTTAATTAGGGGGCGGATTTTATAGAGTTTGTCATACTGCGGATGATCTTTGGGGTGGCACTTCGAATTATCATTGAAGTGCAGAAAACGCAGTACTGTTTCGTATCTGGGCCTACTCATGGTCTGAGAGAAAATGGGAGTATTGCATACTGGGTTTTTGGACCAGTACATTCGGATGCTGGGCTTTTTTATAATTCCCATTAGCATGGTTAGTGCCCAGAACTGTTTTAACTCTGGAACACTGGTGGGGTACCAGCTCCCTTTTGTGGCAAGGTGACTTGTTGCATTTTGTGCCAGATACTGCGCTGCATAAATATTTGTTTGTGTAGCTATCTGCCCTAAAAAATCATCCCCAAGGAACAGCTCCATAAAATCCTGGGAGTTATAGCTGGTCACGTCTCCCTGAATACCAGGAGTCGCAGTGAACAGAGGGATGTCGGGGACAAAATTGTTAGGGGGCACCCAGATATCAGCGCCAGGAGCAGTGCCAGGGGTATCGTCACTTTCTTCATCTGTGTCTGGCACATAGTCACCCTCTGCACTCTCTGAGGCAGTGTCGGTTGCCTCTGAGTCGGCTGCTAATATATTATATGCCTCCTCGGCACTAAACTTTCTAAGCATGGTGAAAGCTTAAAATTAACTTTAACTAAATAACGTATTTTTTTGTTTAGTTTTTTTAACTTTTTTTCTACTTTTTTTTGTTTTCTGAATTTTTTTAATACTTTTTTTGAACTTTTTTAAAACTCTTAAAAACTTTCTAAAACTTCTAAAAACTTTTTTTTAAATGAACCCCTGTGGGTAAAAACAGGAATCAGATCACCGTGCTTACACCTAGCGAAGCAGAAATGCTTTGACTTAAAATAAACTACTTTTTTTTCCTCTTTTTTCCTTTTTTCACTTTTTTTTATACTTTTACTTTTATAACTTTTATAAACTTTTAATAACTTTCTAAAACTTTTCAGCTTCCTAGCTACACTAATGCTAGATTCCCCAATTCCCCCTAGCTTCAATCCACCCCAGCTAACTAATTAACTGAAAATAAAAGTAAAAAAAAAAAAATTAAATATATTTAACCCCTGAGGGTTAAAAAGAAAATAAAGTTAACCCCTGAGGGTTAAAAAAAACCCTCTGATCTCAGTAAAGTACTGTGATCAGTATTGTGATCACTGCTGCCAGTGATCAAAGGGTTAAACTTTTAAAGTTAAAGGGGGTAAAAGGTTTTTTTTAAACTTTTAAACACTTTGTGTCTGTCAGGGACACAAAGTTTCAAACGATCCGTCTCTCTCCACTTCTAATCACACACAGAGGTGGAGGGAGGAGGATCAGAAGTCCCAGCTGCACTGTGATCGCTGTGACTGGCTGTCACAGCGATCACATGTGCTGGGACAGCACTATTGGCTGTTGCTGGGCTTCCTCAAACGCCGAGGCACCCAGCAACAGCGTTAACCCCACGATCGCCGCGATCGCGGCGATCTGGCGTTAACTTTAGTAATTGACGGG